TGTGGGAGAGGGAGGGAGAAAATCTTAATCAGGCTCCAGGTCCAGAGTGGAGCCTGACTCGGGGGCTTGAATTCACAACCCTGAGATCATGACCTGAGCAGAAATCAAGAGTCAGATGCTTAACCAACTGAGCCACCCAGGAGCTCCTACAATGGAAATCACTTTCCTTTTTAAAATTAGTTACTTATTTATTTTTAAGATTTTATTTATTTATTTGAGAGAAAGGGCATGAACAGAGGAGAGGGGCAAAGGGAGAGGGAGGAGGAGCAGACTCCCCACTGAACAGGGAGCTCAATGCAGGGCTCAGTCCCAGGACCCTGAGATCATTACCGGAGCCAAAGGCAGATGCTTAGCTGATTGAGCCACCCAGGCACCCAAATTTATCATGTTTAAAAGGTAGTGTTAAAAGCCTACATGGGGCACCTGGGTGGCTCAGTCAGTTGAGCGTCTGCCTTCGGCTCTGGTCACGATCCCAGGGTCCTGGGATCAAGCCCCACCTCAGGCTCCCTGCTCGGCGGGAAGCCTGCTTCTCCCTCTGCCGGCTGCCCCAGCTTGTGCTCTCTCTCTCAAATAAATAAATTTTTAAAAAAATAAAGAAAAAAAATGTAATGAGGATGAAGATTCATCAAAGAAGCTATATGTGTTGGTTACCCATATACAAAATAGGTAACCATTTTCAAAAACCTGGCACCACTTTGAAAAATCTATACAATCAATGTGGATGAGAACTGACAGCTGTGTCAAATAAAGTTACAAAACCACCAAAAAAAAAAAAAAGAGGAAAAAAGAAAAAGTCATATAAGAAGCCAGAATAACAGAGAGGATGCTTTTTGTCCATTAAATGTTGGGAAAATTATCCAATAATTGAATATTCTAATTGTCTAATAATTGTCTAATACTCCTGAGCAGTCAGGAAAATAGGACTTTTATTCTGATGGCTGACATTACAAATTGACACAATTTTTCTGGAAGACGATTTGTATTAATAGCCTTAGCCTTTGACCTAATAATTCTGTTTTAGGAATTTATCTATAATGAAAATGATACACAAAAATATTTAGTTATAAGGTCATTCACCAAAGCATTTTTCGCTATTACAATTTCATATAGCAAATAATGGAGCATATAGCAAATTAGGTTAGACAACCTAAATGTCTAAGAGGATTGTTTTAATTAATTAAGGTACATCCAGGGGTGCCTGGGTGGCTCAGTCAGTTAAGCGCCTGCCTTTGGCTTAGGTCATGATCCCACTGTCCTGGGATCGAGTCCCACATCGGGCTCCCTGCTCAGTAGGGAGTCCACTTCTCCTTCTCCCTCTGCAGCTCACCCTGTTTGTGTTCTCTCTCTCTTCTCTCTCTGTCTGTCAAAGAAAAAAAAAAGGGTACATCCAGATAATGTTGAATTTGTTTTTTATTTTGTAGTAATCCCTACATCCAACGTGGGGCTTGAACTCATGACCCCAAGGTTAAGAGGTGAATGCTATACTAACTGAGCAAGCCAGCCGCCCCAGAATTACATTATTATCACGTTTTAAATGTGTTTACATATGTGTAAATACACATGTATAAAGATTTAAGATATTATATATTTAAGTGATTATTACTGGTGGATGAATATGTATATGTTTAATTTATTATATATTTCGTCTAATTTTTCTACATTGGACGTACATTTCTTTGGTATTTTACAAAAAATAGTTTTTTACTACATCAAAATAAAAAGGTTCTGGGGCTCCTGGCTGGCTCGGTGGGTAGAGTGTGTGACTTTTTTTTTTT